TGGCTCAGCCAGGCCAGGATGGCGGGGTGGGCCCCTCCTGCTGGGCTGGACTGTACATATGTTAATAGTGCAAACCCAACGCCACATTTTTATAATTGTGATTAAACTTTATTGTACAAAAGTGCTTGGTTGGTGTCTTTGGGGAGGAGCAAGGGGGGTGGGGGTGGAGGGCATAGAGGGTTGGAAAAGGCGATGAGAGGGAAAAGTGGGCACCTGAAGTGTGGGGTGGGTAGAAGGGCCTTCAGGCAAGAGCCCAGACCTGCAAAGGCCCCAGGACTGTAGTTGGACCCCCTGGCAGGCTTCGGCAGCCGCACCAGCAATCCCTTAGCAGTGCCTGCAGGTGGTGCCAGGGTCAGGCCTCTCCTTCCCAGAACCACAGCTGCAGCTGGGCCTCTGGCCTCCTGGGAAGCCCAGCAGGAGGGAAGGCCTGAGGTCACACTGTGGGATGAGGTCACCTGCCGGCTCTACCCATAGCTTTGGACCCCCCCAGCCCACTCTGCAAGTTTCAGCTTCATCCCCCCCAAGTTCTCTGCTGGACCCGGATGCCAGTGGAGCACAGAGTAGCCACCAGGGGGCGCCTTGGGGCAAGAGTGGCGGGGGTGGTGGTTGGGCGGGTCTCCGTTCCTGGAATGGCCAGGAGGGAGAAGGAGGAGCCAGCTGAAGGGGACGGTGTGTGGGCTGGCCAGACTTGGACAAAAGAAGAGGGCCCCTCTGGGCCACCCTGGGCACCCTGGGACAGCAGCTGCAGGTAGGGAGTGGCGCTACCAGTGCCCAGGTGGCCCTTACCTCCATCCGACCCTTCCCACTTAACTATACCATCCCCTCCACCTCCCTCAAGGGCCGGCCTCCCCACCCCTTTTCTGCCCTCACCTGTCTCCCGAAACCCTGACTCCTTCCTGCACCCCAAGTCCGTCTCTCTCTCCGTAACTCAGCCGTCGGCAGGGGCAGAGTGCAGGTGGCCTGGCTGCTGCAGCTCCCAGGAGCTGCCCTGCCCTCCCCCCAACCTCCAGCCTCGTTCCTGCTTCAGGGCACCTCCAGTAGTTAACAGGTGGCCGTGGCAGGCGGAAGTCGGACCCTGGGTGAGCCAAGGTCTCTTCTCGAGCTGGGCATGGCCGACTCTGCACAGGCCCAGAAGCTGGTGTACCTGGTCACCGGGGGCTGTGGCTTCCTGGGGGAGCATGTGGTGCGAATGTTGCTGCAGCGGGAGCCCCGTCTCGGGGAGCTGCGTGTCTTTGACCTACACCTTGGTCCCTGGCTGGAGGAGCTGAAGACAGGTTCTCATTGCGGGAGCTTGTGGTGGGGAGGGTGTGGACGCTTCCCCATCCCTTCCCAAGCTGGGATCCCCACCCCTGAAGTGGAACAGATGATGCTTGTTTCTGTCCGCATGGATGGGATGAGTGAGTCACACTGGGAACGTGACTCCAGGGTAGAAGCTGAACCCAGCCTGTGGCCCCCACTCTGACATGGCCTGTGTCCTCTATCCTTGGCCAGGGCCTGTGAGGGTGACTGCCATCCAGGGGGATGTGACCCAGGCCCACGAGGTGGCAGCAGCTGTGGCCGGAGCCCACGTGGTCATCCACACAGCTGGGCTGGTGGATGTGTTTGGCAGGGCCAGTCCAAAGACCATCCATGAGGTCAACGTGCAGGGTGAGGAGCCCTGGACACTCCTGGCCATCTTGTCTGTTTGTTCCCCACCCTGTCTTTGCCCTTGACTCCTGTGACTCTCCTGGGACAAGTGTCCTGTTGACAGCCCTGCCCCTCCCCGCATCACTGACCTGTTGTGGTTTCCCTGTACCTGGGGTGGGGAGGAGGAAGGTGCAGAGAGGGAGGAAGCTGCAGCCTGGATATGCCCCCTCCCTCTACCAGGCACTCGGAACGTGATTGAGGCTTGTGTGCAGACTGGAACACGATTCCTGGTCTACACCAGCAGCATGGAAGTTGTGGGGCCTAACACCAAAGGCCACCCCTTCTACAGGTGAGTGGCAGGCCCTCCTGTCCTCTTAAGGGCCCATTTCCCTCAGCATTGAGTCTTCCCTCTCCCACCAGGGGCAATGAGGACACCCCATATGAAGCAGTGCACAGGCACCCCTATCCTTGCAGCAAGGCCCTGGCCGAGTGGCTGGTCCTGGAGGCCAATGGGAGGAAGGTGAGCCCAGAAAATGGAGGTACAGAGATGGGGCTCCTGGCCTGTGCACCCCATTACCCCAACACCCCTAGGAGGCTGGAGCCGAGAGCCAACTGTTGGGTCCCGGATCTCAGCAGTGCCTGCTTTTGCCACCAGGTTTGTGGGGGGCTGCCCCTGGTGACGTGTGCCCTTCGTCCCACGGGCATCTACGGTGAAGGCCATCAGATCATGAGGGACTTCTACCGCCAGGGCCTGCGCCTGGGGGGTCGTCTCTTCCGGGCCATCCCAGCCTCTGTGGAGCATGGCCGGGTCTATGTGGGTGAGGACTGGGCTAGGCGGGGGGAGGCTGAGAATATGGCAGGAGGACCTGCTCTGGAAGAGGGCGGGACCCACATGGCCCTGAGAGAGAAATGTTGACTCTGGCTAGAAAAATATGGTCTAGAGCCGGGCGCGGTGGCTCACGCCTGTAATCCCAGCACTTTGGGAGAGCAAGGCAGGTGGATCACAAGGTCAAGAGATCGAGACCATCCTGGTCGACAAAATGAAACCCCGTCTCTATTAAAAATACAAAAAATTAGCTGGGCATGGTGGCTTGTGCCTGTAATCCCAGCTACTCAGGAGGCTGAGGCAGGAGAATTGCCTGAACCCAGGAGGCGGAGGTTGTGGTGAGCCGAGATTGCTCCATTGCACTCCAGCCTGGGTAACAAGAGCAAAACTCCGTCTCAAAAAAAAAAAAAGAAAAATATGGTCTATGTATGGGCCAAAGTAGACTGGGATTATATGGGCACAGCCTCAGAGAACACAGGATCTGGGCAAGTTGGGACATCAAAAAGTGGCATAGGTTACAGAGAAGATTGCAGCTATGGGAGCAGCCACGCCCCAGGAGAGGCGAGAGAGGGGGACAGTGTCTACATAGCACTAAAAGGGCTGGGTTCAGTGGCTTACACCTATAATCCCAGCACTTTGGGAGGCTGAGGTGGGAGGATGGCCTGAGCCCAGGAATTGGAGGCTGCAGTGAGCTATGACCACACCACTGCACTCCAGCCTGGGCAACAGAGAGAGACCCTGTCTCTAAAACTATTTTTTGAAAGGGAGTAGCTTCTACCCAGGTAATGAAGTCACCTCCCACTCCGTCCTGCAGCCCCCAAGCCCCTTGGGGCCCACCCTGCAGTCCTGGTTTCTCCATCCTCTCCCCAGGTTCTTTGCAGATGCAGGCTGGCCCACGAGAGCAAGTGGCTACCAGGGCAGAGGAGAAGGCAGCCTTTCCCAAGCTGCTGTGCGAATGTGGGAGGCAACTACCTGGGCCCAAAGAGGGGGTGGCCCAAGAGAGCAGCCCTGACATGGTGTGGCATCGGCGGGCATCCACATCTCTTCCTCCACTGGTAGGAAATGTGGCCTGGATGCACGTGCTGGCGGCCCGGGAACTGGAGCGGCGGGCGGCCCGGATGGGCGGCCAAGTGTACTTCTGCTATGACGGATCGCCCTACAAGAGCTACGAGGACTTCAACATGGAGTTCCTGGGCCCCTGCGGACTGCGGCTGGTGGGCACCCGCCCACTGGTGCCCTACTGGCTGCTAGTGTTCCTGGCTGCTCTCAATGTCCTGCTGCAGTGGCTGCTGCGGCCGCTGCTACTCTATGCACCCCTGCTGAACCCCTACACGCTAGCCATGGCCAATACCACCTTCACTGTCAGCACTGACAAGGCTCAGCGCCATTTTGGCTATGAGCCCCTGTTCTCATGGGAGGACAGCCGGACCCGCACCATTCTCTGGGTACAGGCCACGGGGGGTTCAGCCCAGTGACACAGGGCTGTGGCCTGGAGGCCCGTTGCAGCACATCCACCCAGGTCCTGAGCCCTCATACTCTGGACTCTGCACAGGACGGGAAGGCTGAATTTCAGAGTGGCGGGAGGGCTCTAAGACCCAGAGCCCTTCACATTTGTTTTCTTTTTTTTCAGACCAGGTCTTGCTCCACCACCCAGACTAGAGTGCAGTGGTGTGATCGTAGCTCACTGCAGCCTCAACCTCCTGAGTTCCTCCTGCCTCAGCCTCCTGAACAGCTGGAACCACAGGTGCACACTACCACACCTGGCTTTTTGTTTTTGTTTTTAGAGATAGGGTCTCACTGTATTGCCCAGGCTGGTCTTGAACTCTTGGGCTCAAGTGATCCTTTCACCTGGGCCTCCCAAAGTGCTGGAACTACAGGTTTGAACCACTGTGCCTGGCCCAAGCCCTCCATATTTTCAATCCTGGAGCCTTGAGTCTGTGTTGTGTCCTGACGCCTTCAAGTTCTAGGGCCGTCAGGACACAAGGGCAGGGTTTGGGGACAGGAGTGTCTGTCCTCCATCCTCTCTAGGCCCAATGGCTGCTTGGCCAGGGTCTGGTACCCTAGTGACCTGCCCTGGCTCACTTCTGGCTTTCTGAGCAGGAAGAGAGCAGAGACTCCCCAGGCTCACGCTCCCCTCCTGACATCCATGGGCGACCTTTAGGCCTAGGTGCAGAGTGCAGAGGTGGCTCTGGTTCCTCCGGCCACCTCCGTCCCTCTTTGGGAGGTGATGTTTCCATTGCTTTTCCAAGGCCTCACCTTCGCCGTCTGTCTGAATTCCCCTTAGGAGTGCTGCGGCCTCCCTGCGCTTTCACTTCCCACCTCTCTACCCAAGTTCCTTCCCGGCAGGTTGTCAACCCTGTGGCTGGGCATGCCCCTGAGCATCTACAGTGAAGGCCATAGATGTTATACCTGGCTGAGCCCAGATTAAAAGTCTCATCCACGCCCGTGTCCATCTGTCTGTCCAGCTGTCCTTCCTGTCCGCACCCGTGTCCGCCTCCCCACGGCGCCCATCCCACATGGGGACAGAAGGAAGTGAGCACACAGCACGCCCGCTGTTGGATTGGTTGCTATTTCTCCCGTCCCACAGGGCCCTGCCTGGCCCGGGGTAGGGTGGGGGGCTCTGGGGACAGGACATGCAGGGCGGAAAGGGGGGCAGGATTTTCCTGTGTTTTATCCATTTGCAACTTGGTCACCAATAGAGAGAAATGGGACTCTGAGGGCTAACAGGAGAGGGCAGCCTGGCTCTGGGCCCCCAGCCAGGCCCCAGGAGTCCTGTCCCTTCTGGGGAGGGGAGGGAGAGAGCTCTAGAAACCAACGGAGAAACAGAGAAGGGGGCAAGGGCTCATGTCAGCAAACACGGCTACATCACGTGACACGCCAGCGACACAGAAACACACGCCAACGCACACGGCTGCACAGCGGGCAGGAGTGGTTGGGGGAAAGGGAGCCGGGGGCCACCCATCTTGTCCTCTGCGGGGCGGGCTGGGGGGGCAAGGTGAATGCATAGAACACATCATGTGTACACGCTCAGGGCGTGGCAAGAGCGTGCATTGACCCACGGGCACATGGGATGGACACGCAGTGTGCTTTGTGAGGGGCGGGAACAGGGAGGATGGGGAGGAGGAGCACTGAGCCCTGGCCAGGCCCGGGACCACCCTCAGGGCACACGTGGGCTTGATGGTTGTAGGTGCCTGGGCAGGCAGCACACATTTGTCCGAGAACATGCAAAAGACACCATCCCCTAGATAACACGCCAGGACGCACACAGACGGCAGCCGACAAGCAGGCACATCATAGGACGTGGGGGACGCATAGAAAAGTCGGGGTGCAGCAGATCCTCGGGGATCCCCTGGTCCACCTGAGGCCCAGAGATGAGCAGCTGTGGGCCCAATGCCACTCCAGGCAGTGGGAGCGGTGCCCCAGCCATACTGCACCCTTTTCCCGTGGCCCCAAGGCCGGGGACTTCCGGAAACACCTGGGCTGAATGGGGGTCCTGTCGGGACGGCCAGGGAGGGAACTGGGGGCTGGGGCCTGCTCTGATGTCTCCCAAGCAGCCCGAGATGGGATCAGGAGGGCCGCAGCCAGACATGGGGCAGACTTTCTGTCCTGCAAAGGGGCATTCTGGGAAGGGACAGGCAGGCCCCAGCTCAGGACAGCCCACCTGGGGTTCCACATGTGGCCACACTGACACGCACACAGGACAGGGTAGAGCTCAGCTGTCTGAGCGGGGGTAGAGGCGGAGAGGTACTATGTTCTGGGAGGTCACATCTGTATGGCCAAACGCACACACAATGCACACACACCCACACACGCACATGTCACATGGCCTGGGATCCTGGGGTCTGCACAAACACGAGTCCCTCGCCTGTGCACAGGTAAGCCTCTTGCCAGGGTGGGGCACATTTGTGTCCTTGTGTGTTCACCCTCCATGCTCCTGGGCCATGGACCACAGGCCTCTAACCTTGTCCTTTTTCCTGAGTTCCGCCTACCAGCCACCAAATCCACAAACTGCACCTGTGCTGGCTACACAACAGGGGAAGCACTGGCCCCTTCCTCACACCGAAACCGGGCCTGTGTACCCCTTAGTCGCACCCTGGTGTGGGGAGCAGCCTGAGGGTTCAGCAGGAGAAGTGTCGGGGATGGGTCTCGGGACCCAGCCCACCCTGAGTGGCCACTGCCACACTGGCCACTCCAGTACATCTGAAATAAACAGTTCCCCAAACCTGAGTTCCCTGAGGCAGAGCCCAGAGCATCCGATGGGGCAGTGGGGACACACAGTCCTCTCCCAGGTCCGAGGCAGGTGTGTGAGTAAGGGGCCATGCCCTGATCTTTGATTTGTGCAGGGAAGTCCTTGGCATCTTGTCCTGTCAGTAACATTCCTACAAGCAGCCCTTCCCTATCAGGAGGCATTCATGTGGTCCCCATGCCAATGCCAGCATGCACAGTGTGTGCCTGGTGTGGCCCCTGCCTGGGCCACCTCAGCCTTGCCACGTGTGAGCACACCAAGAGGTACCAGCTTCCAGGGGCTTGGGGCTATGCTGGGCAGAGACAGACAGAAAAATGAGGATCTGGGCGAGAGCACGCAGGGCCCTGGGGCTGGGCAGGCAGGAAACTCTGGCTGCACAACGATGTGGCCATGTGTGGTCACACTGGTACTGGGCAGCGCCTCTGGGGAGAGGGGTGGGGCAAGGACAACTGGAGAAACAAACCCATATGGGGCCACATCCTTAGAAGTGCCTGTGCACACACATGTATGCATGTTTCAATACACAGGGCAGAAACACACCATGTAGGCTGGGTGTGGGAGCTCACACCTGTAATCCCAGCACTTTGGGAGGCCAAGGTGGGCGGATCACCTGAGGTCAGGAGTTCAAGCCCAGCCTGGCCAACATGTCAAAACCCCATCTCTACTAAATATACAAAAATTAGTTGGGCATGGTGGTGGGCACCTGTAATCCCAGCTACTTGGGAGGCTGAGACAGGAGAATCTCTTGAACCTGGGAGGCACAGGTTGCAGTGAGCTGAGACTGTGCCACTGCACTTCCAGCCTGGGTGACAGAACCAGACTCCGTCTCAAAACAAAAACAAAAAACACACCATGTAGACAGCCCCTAACACACACACACACACACACACACACACACACACACACACACAGAGCCGCATTCTAGGTAGTAAGAAATACACATTTCTCTGCCCACCCAAAACAGCTGTCCAATCCACAGCATGGAGGGCTCAGTATGAGAAGACCTATCAACACTTCAGTCACATCCTTCTCTCTCTCTCTCTCTCACACACACACCACACACACACACACACCCTCCCAGGACACGCAGCAGCCCCTGGGGTAATGAAGATGTGGGGTGTCTGCCATGGCCTGCATGTACCTGGGCCTCCCTGGATCCTCCGAGAACGTGAGTGTGAGTACATACGCACCACCTGCTTGGTTTGTAGCAGACACGAAGGGCTCGGGTATCAGTGGCTTTGTTGCTGTTGCATTAGGTTCAAACACTCAAACACAAAATTCCACGCACACAAATGGTGTGTCCACAGATCTGTGGTCTCATGCACACACACACCATTCACAGAGGAAAGAGGGGGCGTGGTGGGCTGCTGTGTTACCCCTGGCTGCAGTCTACACACCAGCCCCGATGAAGGGGGAAGCTCAGACCACATACATACCCAAGGTGGGGGTGGGGGGTGCTCTGGTGCATCACACACATCACACGCACACGCACGCTGGGGTGTCCACACGTCTCGAGCATGTGCCGGCGGCATGCATGTTGGTGTGCATGTGTAATCACGCCTGCTGCAATCTACGTGCGGGGGCGGGGGGTCCGTGGCCCGGTGAGGTCCAGGGACACCAGGGTCTGCTGTGGGGGTGGAGGAGGGGTGGGGCTGCCTGGGTCTGTTATGGGGGTGAGCCTGGAGCAGGGGATGGAGTAAAAGGAGTGGTGGGGGTATTGCTCCCGATGTGGTGGGGGAGGGGTCTGGGAGAGAGAAAGGTTGGGGGGCCTACAAGCCGAGCGTCCCCCCAATGGATGACGCCAAGACCACCCCCAGCACCACACAGCAAATGATGATCATGATTTTCTTCTGCAGCAGAAAGAGGAGTGAGACAGGGAGACAGTGGGAGAGACCAACAGACGGACAGATGCAGGGACAAATCGGGCAGAGGGTGACAGGAAGAAGAGGGAGAGAAAACAGAAACAGGAAGAGGTCAGAGCCAGAGATAAGGCCTCCCGCCCACTGCCATCACTCACCTCAGCCCAGGCTCAGCCTCAGGCTCCCCGCCTACCCCCAGGCCGCCTGCCCCGCTCACCCTCCGGGCCTTGCTCTGATATTTCACGGCTTTCTTGGTGTCGGACACAGCTCGCTCCACGTAGTCCACGGAATGTTCCACATTGTACTCGATGCGGTCAATCATCTCTCCCTGCAGACGGAGGAGACATGCACAGGGAGGGGTGGGGGCTGGGCTGGAAGAGGGGACCTTGGCCCCGGGGAGGCTCCCAGGGTGGCATGGGTGGCAGAGCCGGTACCTGGCTCTCCACAAGCATGGCCATGTCCACAAACATGTCGTGCAGCTCTCGGATGCTGGTCTCCAACTTGATGATCTCATTGTGCCTCGTCTCAATCTCGTTCAGCGCCTGCTTTGTCATCTGTGAGTCCATTTTGATCTAGGGTGACGAAGGGGAGAGCTGTGATCACCCTTCACCCCCATGAGCGCCGCCACGGCAGCAAGTGGCTGGGGTCAAATCTAGTGTCATTTACTAGCTGAAACCTTAGGCACATTATTTACCTGCTCTTAGCCTCAGTTTCCCCACCTAGAAAACGTGGATCATAACAGTGCCCATCTCACAGGGTGGTTGTAAAGACTGAGTGAGTTAATATGTACATATCAGCCAGGCATGATGGCTCATGCCTGTAATCCCAGCACTTTGGGAGGCCAAGTAGGGCCAATCACCTGAGGTCAGGAGTTCAAGACCAGCCTGGCCCACATGGTGAAACCAAGTCTCTACTAAAAATACAAAAATTAGCTGGTGTCGTGGTAGGCACCTGTAATCCCAGCTACTCAGGAGGCTGAAGCAGGAGAATTGCTTGAACTTGGGAGGCAGAGGTTGTAGTGAGCTGAGATCGCACCACAGCATTCCAGTCTGGACAACAAGAGTGAAATTCCATCTCAAAAAAAAAAAAAAAAAGAGTCAGTGGGTAGAGGCCTGTAACCCCAGCACTCTGGGAGTCCAAGGCAGGAGGATTGCTTGAGCTCAGGAGTTTGAGGCCAGCCTGGGCAACAGAGGGAGACCTTGTCTCTACCAAAAAAAAAAAAAAAAAACACAGAAATTAGCTGGGCATGGTGGTGCCTGTGGTCCCAGGTACTCAGGAGGCTGAAGCAGGAGGATCGCCTGAGCCCAGGAGGTTGAGGCTGCAGTGAGCTATGATTGCTTTACCTGCACACCAGCATATGGGCCACAGAGTAGGACCATGCCTGAAAAAAAAAAAAAAGGAAAGCCAGTGGGGAAGAGACTTCAACCCACAGTCAGATATGCCTCCTCTCCACAAATACCTAGCCTGGGGCAGGTGACTCACTTCCTAAATTACTCTGTTCTTACCACATCAAACCACTCCTCTGCTCTATAGCCTGCCATGGCTCCCCACTACCCAAGGCTCCACACCTTCCAGTCAGCAGTCAAGGCACGGACTCCCTCTACCCTCATCTCCTCCTCTTCCTACAAGCATCCTATAAGCCAAAATCATCCAATGGCTGTTTGGACAGTGTTCAGTCTCCCAGTCTGTTTTTGTTTTTGTTTTTGTTCTTTGTGAAGACTGGGTCTCACTCTGTTGCCTAGGCTGGAGTACAGTGGTGCGATCATAGCTCACTGCAGCCTTGACCTCCTCGGCTCAGGCAATCCTCCCATCTCAGCCTCCTGAGGAGCTGGGACCACAGGTACACACCACTATGCCTGGCTAATTAAAGCATGGCATTTCACCATAGAACTGATTTGCCTACATTAAAATAAATTATTTTTTAAATTAAAAAAACTTTTTTTGGGCCAGGCGCAGTGGCTCACACCTGTAATCCCAGCACTTTGGGAGGGTGAGGTGGGCGGATCATGAGGTCAGGAAATCGAGACCAGCCTGACCAAAATGGTGAAACCCCATCTCTACTAAAAATACAAAAAAATTAGCTGGGTGTAGTGGTGCACGCCTGTAGTCCCAGCTACTTGGGAGGCTGAGGCAGGAGAATTGCTTGAACCCAGGAGGCAGAGATTACAGTGAGCTGAGATCGCACCACTGCACTAAAGCCTGGGCAACAGAATGAGACACCGTCTCAAAAAAAAACAACAACAACAAATTTTTTTTTTGTAGAGATGGGGTCTCACTTTGCTGCCCAGGCTGGTCTTGAACTCCTGGGCTCAAGCGATCCACCTGCCTTGGCCTCCCAAAGTACTGGGATTATAGGTGTGGGCCACCACGATGGGCTGCTCAATGCGTTTTCAAGAAAGATTAGTTTTCCAAATAACAGTGAGCTGAAAACTGTTAAGACAGTCACAGCACATACTTTAAACCTAGTCTAGAACCCTTAACCAGAGTCATTTTGCTACCAGAAGCAGAAATGAAGACTGGAGTGGGCAGGCCGGGGCAAAGGTCCATTGAGAGAAACAAGAACTAGGTTCAGGGAAAGCCCGTCCTTTCTTTCTTTTTTCAAGAGACGCATTCTTGCTCTGTTGCCCAGGCTGGAGTGCAGTGGCAGGATCTTGGCTTACTGCAACCTCCGTCTCCCAAGTTCAAGCGATCTTCCTACCTTAGCCCCCTAGCAGCTGGGATTACAGGCGTGTGCCACCATGCCTGGCTAATTTTTGTATTTTTAGTAGAGTTGGGTTTTCTACATGTTGGCTAGGCTGGTCTTGAACTCCTGACCTCAGGTGATCCATCCGCATCGGCCTCTGAAAATGCTGGGATTGTAGTCCTGAGCTTAAAAGGACAAGGGCAGCGCAGGGGGGAAAACCTAAGCAAAACTAAAACTTGTGTAAAAAACAACAACAACTCTTTAGCCGGGAGTGGTGGTGGGCACCTGTAATCCCAGCTACTCAGGAGGCTGAGGCAGGAGAATCGCTTGAACCTGTGAGGTGGAGGCTGCAGTGAGCCGAGATTGCTCCATTGCACTCCAGTCTGGGCCACAAGAGTGAGACTTCATCTCAAACAAAAAAACCAAAAACAAACAAACAAACAAAAAAATCTTCAAAATGTAGGCAAATTAGGCTGAGTTTCATGGTTCAGATCTGTAATCCCAGCACTATGGGAGGCTAAGGCAGGTAGATCACTTGAGCCCTTGAGTTCGAGACCAGCCTGGGCAACAGAGGAAGAACCCCCACCCCTACCATCTCTACAAAAAAAGTTTTTTCAGGTGGGGCTTGGTGGCTCATGCTTGTAATCCCAGCACTTTGGGAGGCCAAGGTGGGTGGATCACCTGAGGTCAGGAGTTCAAGACCAGCCTAGTCAACATGGTGAAAACCCATTGCTACTAAAAATACGAAAATTAGTATGGTGGTGCACCTGTAATCCCAGCTACTTGGGAGGCTGAGGCAGGAGAATTGCTTGAACTTGGGAGGTGGAGACTGCAGTGAACTGAAATTGTGCCATTGCACTCCAGCCTGGGCAACAAGAGCAAAACTCCATCTTGCCAAAAAAAAAAAAGTTTTTAAAATTATACACACACACACACATACACACACACACACACACACACACACACACACATATATATATATATATATATATATATTTTTTTTTTTTTTTTGAGATGGAGTTTCACTCTTGTTACCCAGGCTGGAGTGCACTGGCGTGATCTCGGCTCACCGCAACCTCCGCCTCCTGGGTTCAGGCAATTCTCCTGCCTCAGCCTCCTGAGTAGCTGGGATTACAGGCACGCGCCACCATGCCCAGCTAATTTTTTTGTATTTTTAGTAGAGATGGGGTTTCACCATGTTGATCAGGATGGTCTCGATCTGTTGACCTCGTGATCCACCTGCCTCGGCCTCCCAAAGTGCTGGGATTACAGGCTTGAGCCACTGCGCCCAGTTATATATATATTTTTTAATGTAGGCAAATCCGTTCTCTGGTAACACGACCTGCTTCAGTAGCAGAGTATGTGGGTGCATCCTAGGGCTCAAGAGTTCTGACTCTGAAACTAGACGGATTTCAAGTCCTGGCTCTGCCCCTCGCTCTGAGATCTTGCCAAGTGATTTCATCTCTCTGGGCCAGTATTCCTCTTCTGTGAAATGGGGTTCCCTCGAAAGGGTGTGTGAGGATTAAATGAGTTGGTGGGTGAATGTGATGATGGAAAGTGCTTAGAACAGTGCCTGGCACACGACTCCGCCATCTGATGGGGGTGCCTTCCTGCTTCACTCCCATGGAATTCCCCAGTTTCAGTCTCAGGCTCAGGCTTCCTGTTGCTCAGTTTCCAACCTGAACTTAGGGAGGGGAGGCAAAAGCTTTCCAGAAACACAGCCCGCCCCACCCGCGGCTCACGTCGTCTGTGAAGATGGCCAGCTTCCCGCTCTCTAGCATGTCTTCCAGTTCTTCGTTGGTTGTGGTCCTTCCAGCTGCGGAAAGAAAGGACTCCCTGCTCAGGGGCTAGGGTGATGGAGTAGGGACCCGGAGCCCACCCTCCTACCCTGCCTTAGGCCAGGCGCCTCCTTCAGAGAGGAAAGGCCTGCAAGGACTTGGGCAGCCCCAGGGAGTTTGGGGTCCTGGGGTGGGGGACACACGCACTGATCTCCAGTTGCCGCTGAATCCGGTCCTTGCAGCGGTCTCGGTACTTGGACTGGGTCGCGTTATATTCAGTCATTACCTCCACGAACTTCCGGGACAGTGTGGAGTGCTAGGGTGGGGTGGGAGAACAGACGGATCAGGGAGGGAGTCAGGGAGCAGAGACCGAGGCGGGAGAGGAGGCAGAATGGGGAGGACGCGCTGAATTGGTTTACGGTTCCTTCTTCAGCTCGGGGCGCGATCCCAAACCCTGACAGGTTCAGGGTCCCCTACGAGCCGGGTACCCACTTCTTATGCCAGCACTAGGAAGAGACACAGCTCCGGCGCTGAGATGCAGCTCGTCCCTGCCCTCCACGAGCCCCCTCCCCCCCGTCCTCCACGACCACGTCCCCGCCCTCCACGGCCACGCCCCCGCCGGTGCCCGGCCCTGGCCCACCCGCCTCCAGCCTGGTCCCCGCCCGGCCCCCGCTGGGCTGCTGCCTCCTACCTGGGTCTTGCGGATGCGCAGATCCGCGGAGGAACGGTTCAGCCCCTCCTCTTGTTCAATGCTTTGCTCGATCGCTGCGGAAGAGAGGGCGCAGTGATGGGCGGGAAGCCCGGGACACATGGGATGGGGGTCTGGGACTTACAAAGGGTCAACGCCCCGGCAGCGCCGGCCCGGGAAAAACCTCATGCCCTGACTGAGTGCGAGCAGCGGTGCCCCAGGGTGGGGTTAGGAGCCAGGAGATAGACGGACAGACGTTTGAGGGGTTCCGAAGGCCAGCAGGAGGGGATACTGAGGGTCAGACGGTCACCAGACATAAGGGGGCTAAGTTATAGTCGCAGAACTGAGTCTTGGAAAGTCCCACCAGTAGTAACTCCTGTCCAACCCCATGAGGGGGTGCCAGCCCAGCCCGCGGAGGGGCCCTGAATGTGGGGTGCTCCCCACTTCCTATAGCCTCTGGACAGGGGGCAAGAATGCAACCTGCGTTTTTTCTGGTGGAAGGCAGGCACCTCTAGGTGGGTCAGGTTCTAGTGGCCCCTCTTTCCCTGGGGAATTCAAGGGCAAACATGAATATTCCAAGGGAGAAAGCAGCCCTCCCCCTGCCTTGCAAGGTGATCCCTGATCCAGGAATTCCCACTTCTGAAGGATGTTCTGGAAGAGTGCACAGATTAACTGAGATTCCTGCTTCTGGATCACGCACTCTTGACACTATCATTCCGATTGTCTAAAAAAGAGATTGTGGGAAAATCTACCTCGGTGAGATCAGAAAATGCAGCAGGGATGAATCACCGCCCTCTCCTCAGACCTTGCTGGCCTCCAGGCCACTCCTGAGAGCCTCACTCCTCCTCCGTTCTGCTGGCAGTGGGGGAGGTACAGGTGGATGGCACCCAGAGGCTCCCCCTACTGAGTGACAGCTCTGGCCCAGCAACACACGGCCCAGGGATACCAGACTCAGCTGGCCCAGATTGGGACCCGACTGTCAGCCTTGGGGCAGGGTCAAGTCTGGAGGGAGGGGTCTCTTACAGGATCTCATTGACTTTTTACAATATTCCTGGGAGGTTGGTGATATCAGCTCATGTTTTAGACTAGAAACTGAGGTTCCAATGGGCGAAACTACTCACTCAAGGTCACACCCAAAGCCTGAGCTCCTGCCACCAGCTGGAACAAGATGAAGAGAATCCTCTCTCCTTTCCTGGAGGTCTCAAAGGTTGGCTTTTCTAAACCACGGCCACTTTTTCCAGCTTCTTTCTCCATCTATTCCTGAACCCCTCACCCACAGAGCCCTCCCTAGGGTCTTACAGAGAGCATTCAAGTTCAAGGCTTGATGGGCCTAGAGAAACCATTGAGCCCAGGGGATTTTAAACTGACAGCAGGAACCTTGTTTCTGAGAAGGAATTTCAGGGGCTGTTGCAGAGAATGAAGGGAGGCCAAGCAGGTAGGTGCTTCCAGCTCCAGCTCAGAGAGAACAACCTGACTTTTATGTTTTATATATTGGGATTCTTTGTATGACTTTGGAAAAAAAGATTCTGATGCTCCCCACCCCCTAAAAAACAAGCTAATTTTGACATTGCTTTCATTTGTCTTACTGTATTGATAAGGAAGCTGAGGGTAGGGGACTTGTCCAGGGTGAGCTGATGGTGGAGGCCGGATTTGCACTTAATGTGCTCCCAAATTCAGACAGTTCCATCCAGCAAACTCTCCTGAGTACAAAGGGCTTGTTTTTATAAATCTGAATCAGAGGCTCAAATATGGCCTCCCCTTGAGTCCAGAGGGCACGGAGTTACTACTCTCCTCTCCCTGGGGCAAGGTCAGTGCTCTAGGGGCCAGGCAGCTGACACAGCTCCTCTTCCCCAAAGCCTAGCAATGTGCCTCGGACATTGGAGGTGCTCGGCATACGTTTTCCAATACTGACTTACCAGGGGCACGCAAAACAGTGTGCTATTTCCCTGGTATGAGCAGACAAGGAGGTTCCCAACCCACGGTGCTTTGGAGAAAGGTGGTTATTACCAGCACCCAAGTCCTAAAATTACAGTGAACAAATGAACATTTGGCAAGTCCCTCTTGAAAGCTTGCCAGTCCCTGATGTCAGCCACACAAGTCCAATCTGCCCTGTGCCAAGGACACTGATTCAGAGGCATTTGCCGGGCCCACCCCTGGGTGCTCTGTGCTATGCCGGGGGCCTGCTCAGGAGAAATGAGGACTTAATGAAACCGAAGCCACTTGCAAGACCACCTTTCTGGTGAACCCTCATGCTGGTAGAAGCAGCAGGGCTCAGACGCAGTTTACACAAGAACTGTCCTCTCCCTCATTTCCTATCATATATCTTTCTCCAAAGAATTGGAGCAAGGGAGAAAGCTGGGGTTTCGTGCTTTCTCACTGTTTAATAATCTGGCTCCTGGAACTTTGTAGAAATTCCTTGCAGAAAGTCCTATTTTGCCCAATGGATGGCAGAGGTTTGTTTTTTCTTTTCTTTTCCTTTTTTTTTTTTTTTTTTTGAGAAGGAGTCTCACTCTGTCACCCAGGCTGGAGTACAGTGGCATGATCTCAACTCACTGCAATCTCCACCTCCCAGGTTCAAGCAATTCTCCTGCCTCAGCCTCCCAAGTGGCTGGGATTATAGGAACCCACCACCATGCCCGGCTAATTTTTGTATTTTTAGTAGAGATAGGAATCTTACCATTTTGACCAGGCTGATTTCGAACTCCTGACCTTAGGTGATCTGCCTGTCTTGGTCTCCCAAAGTGCTGGGATTATAGGCATGAGCCACCAAGCTTGGCCTTTTTTTTTTTTTTGAGACAGGGTCTCGATCTGTAACCCAGGCTGGAGTGCAGTGACATGATCTTGGCTCACTACAGCCTCAACCCCCGGACTCAAGTGATTCTCATGCCTCAGTGCCCCAAGTAGCCAGAACCAAGGCATACACTATCATGCCCAGCTCATTTTTGTATGTTTCATAGAGACGGAATTTTGCTATGTTGTCCTGGCTGGTCTTGAACTCCTAGGATTGAGCAATTGGCCTGGCCTTGGCCTCCCAAAGTGCTGGGATTATAGGCCTGAGCCACTGCGATCCGCTTACAGTTCTCTTCCTTCCTGGTTGAGGGGTTGTACTCCTCACCTTTCAATTTGGACCGAACCTTGTTGGCCGTCTTCTTGATGTCTGCAGTGAGGTCCTCCAGCTCCTGTTTGGTCTCTGAGGGGAGGGCAAGGGCAGGTGAGATGTGTAGGTGGGAGCCACAGGTCCCTTCTCCTCCCACCCCAGTCACCGGCAGCCACACTCACTCTCATCTGGGTTCGGGGCGGCCAGGATGGCGCTATGCTGTTTTTTCACCTGCTCCACATCCTCCGACAGTTTCTCAATGCAGCCCCGGATCTCTTCCACCTAGAGCAGAAAATCGGCTATACCCAGCCAAGTTGTCAGGCCAAACAAGGGGTTCCGGGGGAACCAGCCAGGGTTCAGGGGGATGGACCAGCCCCAGAAGGGCTGATAAAAGGTCAGGGAGGGTACAGGGGCAGAGAAGTGGGGAACAGGGAAAAGGAAGTTGTTGGTGGCTAGGGGCTGGAGCTAGGGCTGGGGCCAGGGCTGGGGCTGGAGCTGGGCGCTGGGTGCTGCGGCTGGGGCTGGGGCTGGGCGCTGGGGCTGGGGCTGGGGCTGGGGCTGGGCGCTGCGGCTGGGGCTGCGGCTGGGGCTGGGGCTGGGGTTGTGTACTGGGGTTGGAGGCTGGGGCTAGGGGCCTTGAAGGCCCATTACCTGTTCAAAGAACTCATCCATAAAGTGGTCCCGATCCACATGGACCACCTCCTCTTCATCATCACTGTCTTTCGCCTGGGGGCAAAGGAAGGCTGAGTCTGTGAGCAGCCCCTACCTGGGTTCCCAAGGCGGGCTCTCCAACTCTCCCACCCTCTGCCTGCCACACACACACCGGTGCTCCGAGCTCTAGGCTCAGAGAAGGGGTCCTGGGAGGGGTCCCATACAGGGGAGATGGCAAAGGCACCAAAAGTATCTGTCAGCCCAAAGGATTCCTTAGAGGGAATTGGCAGGAGACCCTCTCTCGGGGCGGATGTGGCCTGTGGGTGCAGAGTCAGCCTTGACCACCCATCTTGACCATCAGTAGGGATGATTTCAATATTTCAGCAACCGGCTGAACGTTAGGCTTGCAGTAACTGACCCTGGGCTCCGTGAAGGGTCCTAGACCAGAGTCCCTGGAGCCTGGACCTCCCTACTGTCCCTGTTCTCCTGCCGGGATCTCATTTTACGCCCTTTCTCTTCCCCTCCTGCCCCATCCGGCCAGACACATCGCCTATGCAAGGTCACTTCACTGCCAGCAGCAGGCGCCAAGTTGAGCAAACAGTGAGGGCTGGATAAGAGACACAGGCAGCACTCCCTCATGCCCTGCGCCCCCTTCTTCCACCCACTCTCCCTCCCCTCCCAGCCGGCTCTCCTTCGAGGTGGATTCACTTGCTTTCATCCAGCCCCTTCCAACTTAACACCCACCTACTCTCACTGGCTTGGGTTTCCCAGTTGCAACCTGCAGCTGCTCAACCCTCCACCCGCAGGGCTCACAGACACAAAAGGATTTACCCACCCACAGCACCACTGCCACCGACAGACTCGAGACACAGACAGAAGAGCTGACACCCAAGGCACGCGGGAATAGGCCCCCCTGACACCCACACGGAGATGCACGGATGCTGGCATTCACCCGCACGCAGACTCACAGCTGAGTTGCACTGACACGTGTGGACACACTGGCGTTCAGCCGCACCCCCAGGGACATTTGGGAGGGCTCACTGGGCTTGTTCTTCCAGCTTTTCTGAACCTCACGTCTGCACACATGCTTGGAGCTGGGCAGGAGGAGAGGCTGCAGGGAGGTGCCCTGTGCTACACACGCCCCTAGTCCTTCTCTGCTTGGGACAGAGGTCTGAAGGCAAAATCTGAGCGCATCAAGTTTAGTGACATCTGGAGCCCCAAACAGCCCCAGTGGATATGTATACAGAGTTCATTCTGATTTCCAGAAAGAACCAGCTGAGCTCAGACAGAATCCAACCCCCAGAGCCTGGGTGAAATCAAGGCAGGATCCAAGCAGCATCCACCTGGTAGTCAGTTGGAATCCAAAAAGGAGAGTTTGCCAGGGCCCAGCAGAAGGCAGACAGGCAGGGCCTAACAGAAACCAGACAGGCGCAGACAGAACGAGCCGAGGCTCACACAGATCCCAGACAGAGCCCAGACAGCTCAGATCGAACCTAGACAGAGCCAGATGGGACCTAGGTACAGTCCCCACAGCCACAACTCAGGGTCAGCAGTCCCCGACAGCCTCGGGAAAAGCCTGCACGGCTGGGGCCTCCAGCTCCTGAAGCTACCCCAGCCTCCTGCCCAAGCCTGGCCCAAATGGAACTCCAGGGATTCTCCACACAGACGCTGGGCCCCCACTGTGTTGGAAAATGTGTTCAGCACTTGTGTTAAATTTCCAGACAATCCCAAACATCCTCCTGGAAAGGGGGTTCCCTCCGTCTTGGCTCACAGCTGCCCCCACAAGGTAGGGTGGTGCAGGTGGCATAAGTTGGGGACCCTGGGAGGCTCTGGGATGCTGGGCTCACCTCTGAGGACCCACTGGTCTTCCATGGTGTTCTTCACCTTCTCTGTCTTCACTAACCGGCTGTGCCACAAGGCCGCCTTCCCTTAGAGCCAAAAGCTTTCCTTTGACCTTTCTATCCCTTCAACCGCTCACTCAGCCACCAGCCTCATGCAGGTCATGAGGCCTTTCCCTGGCCCGGGTGCCTGAGGACCTTCCCGTTCTTGGTCTCTCTCCCCTCCCATGCTAACGTTAGGAAGTCCTTCCTAAAGTCTAATTTCAATCTCTCTTGTTCTTGGAGCCACCTCCCTGAGGTGCCTCTCTGGAGCTCCCTGGGCTACCTTTTTTCTTGCCCTCAAGAGACGAAGAAAGATAAAAGGCCCAAGAGGGGTCGATTTGGTATAATAATTACAAATGCCAAGAATCCTCTGCCATTTACAAACACTTTTACATCCATAATCCCTTTTGATCCTCAGCACCACAGCCCTGTGAGAAAAGCTGAGCAAACATCATCGTCCCCATTTCACAGATGAGGGAACAGGAGGCCAGAGGGGAAAAAGGTGAGTGACTTGCCCAAGGGCACCCAGGCCACAGAGGACCAGAAAACCATAGGCATCCAGCCCCACAAAGAACCCTGTAAGGCTCTGGACTGGGTCACCTGCCCTGCTGGCTCTCCACTCTCAGTTACTCTCCCTCTCAGGCACTCTCCACTCTCAGTTACTCTCTCTCCCAGGTACTCTCCACTCCCAGGTACTCTCCCTCTCAGGCACTCTCCGCTCCCAGGTACTCTCCCTCTCAGGCACTCTCCACTCTCAGTTACTCTCCCTCTCAGGCACTCTCCACTCACAGGTACTCTCCCCTTCAGGTGAGCCCCTGCTAAGTTCTGACCTGGGTAAGGCTCTGTGCTTGACAACCTAGCAAAATATGATCACTTGATAGTATTTTTTGCAGAAGTCTTACATTCTTGCTATCTCATTTAATCTTCATTAGAACTCTGTAAGGACCATTGGCCAACATAATTATAATTATGCAAACATTTAGAGGGTGTTTTACAATGTGGTGGGCACTGTTCTATGTGCTCCGCGTATATATACCCATTTCATTCTTACAGCAGTCCCTCGGAGGTATTACTATAACCCCCTTTATAGATGGGGAAACTGAGATATAGAGCTAAATAACTCAGGCCAGTTGTGGTGGCTCATGCCTGTAATCCCAGCACTTCGGGAGGCTCTGGTGGGAGGATCGATTGAATCCAGGAGTTCAAGACCAGCCTGGACAACACAGCAAGACCATATCTCTACAAAAAATACAAAAATTAGCTGGGCATGGTGGTGCACATATGTAGTCCCAGCTACTTGGGAGGCTGAGGCAGGAGGATCCCTGGAGCTCAGGAGGCTGAGAGCCTGCAGTGAGCCATGATGGCACCTCTGCACTCCAGCCCGGGTGACAGAGCAAGACACTGTCTCTTAAAAAAAAAAAAAGAAAGAAAGAAAGAAAAGAAAAGAGCTTGCCCCAGGTCAGCAGCTAGAAGACCATATGGTTCTACCCCTGAGCCTCAGTCTCTGCGCTTGCTGAGTGGTACAATGCCTACTCTTGGCCACTCCCATGTTGCAGACAAGAAAACAGGCTCAGAGAGGTTGCCTGGCCTGCCTTAGGCTTCACAGCAAATGAGGCCAGAGGTGGGACCTGAACTTGGGACTGTCTGGTTCTAAATGTCACGTTTTCTCCCTTCTGCCCTGCTGACAGATGGCAGTCCTTCCTGGTCCCAAAGAGCCTGCTCTGCCATGTCCTCAGGATCACTGAACTCCTGCGGCCAGGATGGAAAATCAGCAGGAGGGGCCCAGGGCTGCAGGCAGAGCCTGGACAGGAGGCCTGGCCTCCCAGCCTCCGTCTCACATGCTGTGTGACCCTAGGCAAACCTCGGCTCCTCTCTGGGTCCCAGTTCCCTTGTCACTGAAATGAACAGGTTGGCTCAAGTGCTCACCCTGCTCTGAGGGGCCCTTCCTGCTCTGAGGGGTGCATATCTAGTAATGAGCACAGCCTCCGTTTCTGGAAGAAGTTAGGCCAGCCAAAAAAGAAAGCAGGCTATGGGCAAACCAGACTATCTAGGAAAAGATGATCAAATGCGCCCCAGTCCACTTTATGGTGGTCTCAGGTTACAGGTGAATGAGTCAAGCCTCAGTTTCCTCATGTGCAAAATGAGGAGGATAACAATTTACAAACATCTAACACATATGTGCTGATGACCATGTGTTGGGCCCTGTTACACGCACCTTGCGTTTCTTTTATTTTCTTTTTCTTCCTTCCTTTTTTTTTTGGAGAGATGAGGGTCACTACATTGCCTAGGCTGGTCTCCAACTCCTGGGGTCAAGAGATCCTCCCTTCTCGGCCTCCCAAAGGGGTGATGGGCATGAGCCACCGCACCCAGCCTGCATTTCTTCTTTAATCCTCAAGCCCACCCCATGAGGTCACATTTTTATTCTCACTGGACAGATGGGGAGACAGAGGCACAGAGGGATTGGATAACATGTCCAAGATCACACAGCTGATGGGGTGACTGGAACCCGGGCACTCTGCTCTACAGCACACGGCTCCTTGAGCACTTGAGAGGGATTGAATGAGATAGTGCCATGCCCCTGAGCCCCTTACAGAACCACCTGGGGGCTTCATACATCAGATCCAAGCCTCCAGCTGCAGCCTGACCCCCTCGGAGGCCCCCCAAGTCTAGGTCTTCCACATCGGGGCCACCACAGGTGGCGTGTGTGTGTCCATGAGAGTGATGACAAGGACAGATCCTCAGATACAGAAATGGAGGGAGGAGAGTGACAGTGAGAGCCAGTAAGTCAGTGACCAGAGACAGATGGTAAGACGGTGACAAAAACACAGAGGCGGCAAGTGACTGGAATTGGGTGACAGAAAAGTCAGCGAGAGTGTGTGCGTGTGCGTGTGTGTGTGTATAAACACATGCGTGCCCAAGCACTGACACACACGGGCTCCCCATGCTCCTCAGGGGTGCAAGCATCATTGTTCGTTCAGAGGCAGCAGCCTCCCCCGGTGCCCCTTCCCCCACCCTCCGCTTCAGTCCATCTGTCTCCCTGGCCGGGGCCTCTCCTCCCTCTCCTCCCTCCCTCTCTCCCTCTCTCCCTCTGTCCAGCCCGGCCCTCTCACCTAGACCTCTCTCCTTCATCTTTCCTGCCTCAGCCCCTGCCTCTTCCTCATCTTCCCTCTGTCTCAAAGAGTTGTTTATTCATCTAACAGATACATCTGATTTGTGCCAGGTGCTCTTCTGGGTGCTGTTGGCGATGTGGTGGTGAACAAGACAGGCAAGAAGGGCCTGGCTCCAGGGAGGGGGCATTCCAGTGGGAGAGGCAGACAATGGTAGGCAAACAAGACATTTCAGATTGTGCTGAATGGCAGGAGGGAGATAAGCAGAAACATGGAATTGAGAGACTAGGGGATCGGGTAAGGCATTCTACAGGACGATCGGCAGGGCCTTTCTAGGGAGGTGACATCTGAGCTGGGCCCTATAGGAGAACAACGCTGGGGAGAAAGAATTCAGGGTGGAGAGAACAGCATGCTGGGCAGAGGGAACAGCGTGCACGAAGGTCCTCGGACAAAGGTAAACTTGTGTGCTTGGATGGCAGAAAGAAGCCCAGTGCTGACCAGGCATGGTGGCTCATGCCTGGAATCCCAGCACTTTGGGAGAGTGAGGTGGGAAGATCATTTGAGGACAGGAGTTCAAGATCAGCCTGGTCAACATAGACCCTATCTCTACAAAAATAAAAAAAAATTAGCCAGGCATGGTGGTGCGCGTCTGTAATCCCAGCTACTCGAGAGGCTGAAGCGGGAGGATCCCTGGAACCCAGGAGGTCAAGGCTGCAGTAGGCTGTAATTGCACCGCTGCTCTCCAGCCTGGGCAACAGAGGAAGACCACATCTCTAAAAACATTTTTTTTTAATATTAAAAAAGGCAGCCCAGAGCAGCTGGAGGATGTGGATCCATCACCCAAGATTCACTGGTCTCCACCTCCTGTGATTTCAGGGCTGTATTTCTTTTTTCTTTTTTTTGAGACAGAGTTTCGCTCTTGTTACCCAGGCTGGAGTGCAATGGAGCGATCTCGGCTCACCACAACCTCCGCCTCCTGGGTTCAGGCAATTCTCCTGCCTCAGCCTCCTGAGTAGCTGGGATTACAGGCACGCGCCACCATGCCCAGCTAATTTTTTGTATTTTTAGTAGAGATGGGGTTTCACCATGTTGACCAGGATGGTCTCAATCTGTTGACCTCGTGATCCACCTGCCTCAGCCTCCCCAAGTGCTGGGATTACAGGCTTGAGCCACCTTGCCCAGCCCAGGGCTGTATTTCTGAAGCACCTACTGCGCCTGCCCCATACCTGAGGGCCCTCAGGGCTTGGGACGGTCCCTCAGCACCTTCATCCTGTCCAGCCTCAGATTCGAGCTCTCGCACTGCAGGCCCCACCTATCTCCCAGGCTTCCTCCCTACTTCTCCCGCCGGACTCCACATCTGCCTCTCAGCCCTCCCTGTGCCCCTCCTGTCTTCTCCCCTAACCCACCTTCCTCTCCACCTCACTTGCCCCCGTCTTTCCTCTTGAGCCCCACTCTGGCCTGACTCCTTGGACCTTGGGACACATATTCAGCTGATTACCTCCTCATCGCAGCCTCATCCAGCCCAGTGCCAACCAGAGAAGCCTGGTGAACTGGACGCAGAAAATCCTAGTTCAAGCTCAGCTCGACCATTCGGAGCTATCTGACCTTGGACAAGTCAGGTTCTTTTCCCCTCTGGTCCTCTATGTACTCCAAAATAAAATAGGGGCAACGTCCTGCCCATCTCAGGGGACTTGTGTGATGTTGAAGAGAAATAAACAAGCTATCTGCTGGATAACAGACACAGCATTGCTGGGCGCCACGGCCCCTCCTAGGCACTTGGTGCATATTAACTACCTTCAATCCTCAGGATAACCCTGTGTAGCAGGTACTCTTACTTCTCCCAATTCACACATGAAGTAATTGAGGACCAGAGAGGTTAAGTAACTTGCCCAAGGTCACACAGGAAGTGGCAAAAAGAATTTGAACCTAGATTATCTGGCTCCCGAAACCACTGTGTGACAAATGGACTTGAGAATCCCTTGGGAATGCCAAGGTACTGCTGGAAAGACAATCAGCCCCATGGGTTAATGTCCCCTCCCACCACCGCCCCTGCCTTGCCCCTCCTAGTGTCTCAGAGACCCCGTTTCCAGGTCCCCCACACCCTTCCTGGTGTCTCCCGCATCCCAGCCTCCTCGCTCTCAACTGTAGCAGGGAGACCCTTACCTTACCCGAATCTTGGCTTTTCCCACCCCGCCCACCCCCTCTTAAATCTCCAGTTTCCCTGAGCTGTGACTAATACCAAAGCCACCACATCCACTCAGCCCCTTCACCCTCCACACCAGCTCCCGCAGCCCCAGCCGACAGGATTCCTCACCTCTGAGCAGGGGCCCCTGACTCATTCATGAGGCTTCCCCTTCTCCTGCCCCCCCTCTATTCCCCTCCCTCTTTCTCCAGTCATACCCCAGTTCTACACCACCTGATCCTAACCCACTTCCATCCCCCTGGGTTTTGGAGTCATGGAATAGTCCTGGTATCAGGGGAGCTGGATTCAAGTCCGAATCTGTCACTTGCTAGCTGTGTGACCTTGGGCAAGTTATTCAACCACTCCTGGCCTCAGTTTCCCCAACTCTAAAATGAGAGAGCCTCTCTATTCGCTTGCCAGGAGGTTGATGGGGCTCTAATGAGATCACAGATGAAAGCTTGCTCTGCAAACTGCACACTGCACCATGAGGAGGGGAATTGACAACACCAATGCTGAAGTCAGCCTGCCTGGGTTTGAATCCTGCCTTTACCAGCTGTGTGACTTTGATTTAATTACTTAACCTCTCTGAGCTCAATGTCTTTGTCTATAAAACGAGAGAACATATATCTATATATCTAAAAAGATATTTATATATCTATAAAATGAGACAACCTCATAGAATTGCTGTGAGGATCAAAATGAGTGGAAATGCATAAAACACTTGGAACAATGTTTATTATTACAGTCATTTTACTCATGCCTGAGTGTATATTCAGTGAAAATGTAATAAAGAAAGAAACCTTCCAAAATTCCCTCCCTCAGTTGCCGGCTCCTCCCTGCTTCCCCCTTGGCAACCTGTCTGTCCCCAGAGACAGCGGCCACTTGCCTCCAAGTACCTTCTCCTCGTCTGTCCATAACCTGGGTCCCCACCCCCAAATCCAGGGCAGAGCTCTTCACCCCCAGTGCTGAAACTTCTGTTTCAAAGGCCAGAAAAGCAGAGACCTGTGTCAACCTGGCAGATGTAGGAAACCCAGACAGCAGTCTGCCCCCCACCCACTTGCTTGGTGACCTTGGGCAAGTCCTTTCCCATGCCTGAATCTCAGTTTCCTCATCTGTCAAATGGGGTAATAACCCCTGGGGTAACAACTGGCCGGGTCCCATAAAGGTGCAGTGCACTGGGCAGGTCTGGCTGGGCCGGTACCCTTATTAACATACCACCACCAGTCTAGCACAGAGCAGACTGTTGGCGCTGCCTTCTCCGGCCCCAGGTCATTTCTTCAAATGCCCCGGCGTCCTCCCTGCCCCGGAAACCATGCTCATCCAGCCCCAATCCCCAGTTTCTCCAGGCAGCAACCTCCACTGCAGTCCTTCCCCTGTCCACCTAAAACCAGGGACTGCCTGGCCGGACTCCTGGAGCTGGGCCTCTACAGGCCTGCAGACGTGGGGCCTGCACCAGTCCTTGACTGCCTGGGGTGCCCCAGTTCCCCCTAGCAGAGCGGGGTCTGTGGCCCACAACCCAGTTCCGTGGCCCTCTCCTCCACATCCCCATCTCCCACCTCTGGGTCACCCTGTCTCAGGCCCTGGCCCTCTGGCTCTCTCCAGGGAGGCCACCTCTTCCCTTCCTGTCTTGGAGGGATGCCCCCTCCCTACACGGAGTGACACGCGCGTGCACACACACACACACACACACACTTCATTCATTGCCAGGTGCCGGCATCTCAGTCCCAACCTGTGTCCTTCCCCGTAGCATCCCCCGAATCTGGGTCCTGCTAGACTCTCAGCCTGGCCCAGTCACCGCCCCCATCCTTCTCTTTGGCAAACCTGCCCAGGGGATGACAGTCCCCTCCGGTCCCTCCTGACATCCACTCTTCCCCATCCCCAGACGAGCCCCCGGGGCCCTCCTGGGAATGTGGGGTGTCCAAGGCCCCTGAGACTTCTCCTGCCCCCTTGTGTCTTAATGGCCTCCAGCCCCTTCCAGCCACTGTCCCCAAAATGCAGGTTCACTGGAGAGAGATATCAGGTGCCTGGAGATATTGGGGTGCCCCGGCTACCAACCTCCGATCTCATCCTTTGCCCCCGCGTCTCAGCACCTCCCCCACTCCATCCCCACGCGCTCCCCCAATATTGGGGTCCCGCCCCCCCATTCTCCCCACCCCCAAGCTCACACTCCGCAGCTCCTGAGTCCGATCCTTCATCCTGCGACGGCTCCTCCTCCTCCTCCTCGTCCTCCTGCCTCTGCTGATGCTCCCGGTCTCCCGCCTTGGTGCCGGAGGCCGGGGTCTGGGGGCGCCGGGGGGGCAGGAGGGCGCCGCGGCCGCTGCGGGGAGCCTGCGGGCAGGGGCGGGGCCGGGGGCGGCGGGCTGAGGGCCGGGCAGGGGCAGGGGCCTGGGCCGGGCTCGGCTCTGCCGGGCTGCGGTGGCGATGCGGCTGCGGCACAGGGTAGGATGGAGGGATGCGGGAGCCGAGCGCGGGGGAGGGGGGCGGAGGGAGGTGAGGAGGAAGCGAGAGCGGGGGGAGCGGGAGCGCGCAGGGAGCAGGGGACATGCGCAGCGCCCGGGCCGGGGGCGCCTGGGGGTTGTAGTCAGGGGCTGGGGGGGACACCCGGGGAGGGGGCGGGAGAGGCCTGGAGGCGGGTGGGGGCGAGCAGAGCCAGAGGCGCAGGGAGAGATACGGAGAGCCGATCGGAGATGCTGGGGTGGCTGTGGGGAGGGGGGTGGCCTGGCGGAAAGAGCCGGTGAGGGAATGAATTCAGGGAATAACCTGGGAGCCAGGATGTGGATCCCTTTCCAGGAGACACAGATTGAGGCTGTGTTTTGTGTCTGGTGTCTGCATGAGCCTGGGCGCGACCACCTCCGGGTGCGGGCCCGTGTGTGTACCTGCAGGAGGCTCTTTGGACACTGGAAATAGAAAGACTGACCCTCTGTGTGGTTTTTACAATGCAGGGAACCAGCCAGGTGCTGGCTGAGAAGGACACGAGGCTTGTGTTGCATACCTGGGCCTCCCCCGCTGCGGTGGGTCTGGGAGCTCTGCTTGTCTGCCTCTGGGGACAAGGTGCTCACTACCTCCCAGGACCTCCTGACCCGTCTGTAGATGGCTCTGACTGTTGAACATGAAATTTGTCCTTAGTGGGAGGGGAAACCCAGTGCCCTGAGGGTCTGAGTGACCTCCTCTCCTGATGCCCACTTCTCCTCTCCCCATCCTAACACCACACCAACTCCTCCTCCCCCTCCAATGGGGCCCCGGTCCCCAATGGGATAGGCCTTGACTCTCAAGTGATACTCCCACCTCAGCCTCCCAAAGTGCTGGGGTTACAGGCCTGGGCCACCATGCCTGGCATTCTCTTGCCAAGTACCCAGTGACTTCCTTGGTGCCAAATCCATGTCTGATAAACCCTCCTCCCACACCACCCATCGGGCCTTTCTATCCCTGACCTCTCAGCAGCATGTGACCCTGATGAGCCCCCCTGAAATGCTCCAGTCCGTGGCGCTCTGCCCACTGCCTACTCAGCCCCCCCCCCAACCCCTGACCTGTGAGTGTTGTCTCCCAGCCTTCCCTTCTCAACCTCCGGGTTCCCTGGGCTCCATCCATTCTCTTCTCGTTTGGTTTTCGTTTTTGTTTTTGAGATAGGGTCTCATTCTGTCACCCAGGCTGGAGTACAGTGGTGCGATCTCGGCTCACTGCAGCCTCAACCTTCTAGGCTCAAGTGATCCTCCCACCTTGGCCTCCTGAGTAGCTGGGACTATAAGCACCCACCATCATGCCTGGGTAATTTTATGTTTTGTAGAGCCAGGGTCTCACTATGTTGTCCAGGCTGGTCTTGAACTCCTAGGCTCAAGCGATCCGCCCAACTCAGCCTCCCAAAGTTCTGGGATTACAGGCCTAGGCCACCGAGACCAGCATTCTCTGATCTCTTTACCCAAGATGCTTTATCCAAGGTGCTTTCTGCACCTGTCTGCCTGCAGTGCCCACATCTGTACCTGCGAGCTAGATACCTCCCCGCGTAAGACAGCTGCTACTATGTGCCTAAGCACTGAGCTGGGCACCAAGAAGGCAGAGACTGAAGACCCCAGCAGAGTCATGAATAGATCCAGGACTACAGTGGGCATGGCCAGCGCTGACGTGGGGACCTCAAGGAGGTAGCGGTGTGCTACCCAAGCGCTCCTTCCTGTGTTCTCCCTCAGAGATGGCATCGTCTCCATCCACCCAGCCACTCAAAGCAGACAGAAAGCAGTCCTTACCTCCCCCGTATTATAATGTCTCCACGTTCTGGATGTCCACCATGTTACATTCACTATTCTGGTAGCTCCCAGAAACCTCCTAACCTGACAATAGCCACTGCTATGATCTGAAGTGTACAGACCAGGACACTGAGACTTTGAATGGTCACATAACATATCCAAGTTCACAAGGCGAATATAGGTCAGGGCTGGGGTCTTGTTTGCTTTTTTTTTTTGAAGACAGGGTCTCATTCTACTGCCAGGCTGAAGTGCAGTGGTGCAATCACAGCTCACAGCAGCCTCAACCTCCTGGGCTCAAGCAATTCTCCCATCTCAGCCTCCTAAGTAGCTGGGACTATAGGTGCACACCACTGTATACAGCTAATTTTCTTTCTTTCTCTCTCTCTCTTTCTTTCTTTGGTGAGATGGAGTCTCACTCTATCTCCTAGGTTGGAGTGCAGTTGTACAATCTCGGCTCACTACAACCTCTGCCTCCCGGGTTCAAGCAATTCTCCTGCCTCAGTCTCCCAAGTAGCTGTGATTACTGGTGCCTGCCACCACGCTCAGCTAATTTTTGTATTTTTAGTAGATGCAGGGTTTTGCAATTTTGGCCAGGCTGGTCTGGAACTCCTGACCTCAGGTGATCCACCTGCCTTGGCCACCCAAAGTGCTGGGATTACAGGCGTGAGCCACTGTGCCTGGCCCTAATTTTCTTTCTTTCTTTTTTTTCTGTAGAGATGAGGCTGGTCTCAAACTTCTGGGCTCTCACCTCGGCCTCCCAAGTGCTGGGATTATAAGCAAGAGCCGCTGTGTCTGACCTTGTTTGCATCTTTCAATTGCAAAGCCCGCCCCCTTTTTTTTAAGAGATGGGGTCTTACTCTGTTGCCCAGGCTGGACTCAAACTCCTGGGCTCAATCAATCTTCCTACCTTGCCCTCCTGAGTGGCTGGGACGATAGGGGCACACCACCACACCCAGCTCAAAGCCTGTTCTTGTAAAACCATTCTGTTATATAGCTCCTCTCTCTCAACCGTGACACCAAGAGCCATCTTCTGGGTCCTCTCCTATCCCCACCACCTCAGGTCAGTCTGGCCCCTCACTGTCTTTTCACCTGGGTCGTCGGCACAGCCTCCTCTCTGGTCTTCCCACTTGAGTGAAGCCCCTTTCCTTCATGTCTTTCTTCCTCCCCAGTCCTTAATGTGATTACCCCCCAAACACATGTGATCTGCTGGGTGCTCACGCCTGTAATCCCAGCACTTTGGGAAGCCAAGGTGAGGAGATCACCTGAGGTTGGGAGTTCAAGACCAGCCTTACCAACATGGAGAAACCCATCTCTATTAAAAATATATAATTAGCTGCCCATGGTGGTGGATGCCTGTAACCCCAGCTACTCAGGAGGCTGAGGCAGAAGGATTGCTTGAACCTGGGAGGCAGAGGTTGCAGTGAACCAATATCACGCCATTGCACTCCAGCCTAGGCAACAAGAGCAAAACTCCACCTCGAATAAATAAATAAAAATACAAAAATTAGCTGGGCGTGGTGGCATGTACCTGCAATCTCAGCTACTTGGGGGGCTGCAACAGGAGAAGCACTTGAACCCAGGAGGCGGAGGTTGCAATGAACTGAGATCGAGCCACTGGACTCCAGTCTGAGCAACACAGTGAGATTCTGTCTCAAAAAAAAAAAGGAAGAAAAAAACAAAAAATTCCAAATACGATTGTGTTCACCCCTGCACCAGCACCTCCAATCCCCCCAGGGCCTCCCGGAATTCACCCAAAAGCCTGCTGTGGCATTTGAACCCCACCATCACTCCTCCCCCTCACTACTCTCCCCCTGCGTCATGGATCCCAGGCCTTGACCACACCACAGAATCATGGGCTCCAAACCCTCTGAATTTCACTGTGTGTTGCTCTTCTCTGCCTGGAACACTGTTGAGCCCCTCTCTGATTCTCTGATAGACTAATTCTCCTCCAAGGCCCAGTTCAAGCCTCTCGCAGCCATCCAGGCAGACACCCTCACTAGGAGCAGGCTGTCTGCTTCCCCACAAGCCCAGACTGGGCCTGACTGCCATCCACAACCAACACAGTCAGGCACAAGGCCAGGTCTGGTGGTTCACACCTATAATCCCAGCACTTTGGGAGGCTGATGTGGGCAGATCACTTGAGGTCGGGGTTGGAGACCAGCCTGGCCAACATAGATGAAACCTGTCTCTACTAAAAATAAAAAAATTAGCTGGGTATGGTGGCAGGCACCTGTAATCCCAGCAACTCGGGAGGCCTCGTGTCATTCTGGTCTCTTGGAACTTCCTTCCCTCTAACATCCCCAAGCCCAACCCCTGCTCTCCTATCAAAGTTCAGCCTCGGTGTATTTCTTGGCTCTCCTGATACTAGAGGGAAAGCTCAGCCAAACCTCAGCTGCTCACTGCCCAAAAGCCAAACACAAGATGAGAGCTGGGGGACAGGCGAGGTGGCTCACTCACGCCTGTAATCCCAGCACTTTGGGAGGCCGAGGCAGGCGGATCACCTGAGGTCAGAAGTTTGAGACCAGCCCGGCCAACATGGCAAAACCCTGTCTCTACTAAAAATACAAAAATTAGCTTTGTGTGGTGGCTCACGTCCATAATCCCAGCTACTTGGGAGCTGATATAGGAGAATCACTCGAACCAGGGAGGTGGAGATTGCAGATCATGCCATTGTACTCTGCCTGGGCAACAGAATGAGACTGCGTCTAAAAAAAAAACAAAAAACAGATAGTGGGAGAAAAGCAGGTTTATTTGGAGAGCCAGCAAACTGAGGAGATGGTGAACTAATGTCTGAAAGTCTCATCTCAAAATTTTCAGGCTGGCTGGGTTTTATTTATTTATTATTTGAGACAGACTCTCATTCTGTTGTCCAGGTTGGAGTGCAGTGGCACAATTACAGCTCACTCCAGCCTTGACCTCCCAGCTCAAGCGATCCTTCCTCATCAGCCTTCGAAATAGCTGGAACTATAGGCACTCACCACCACACCTTGGGGCTCACTTTTTGATTTTTTTGGAGAGATGGGTATTGCTATGTTGCCTAGGCTGGCCTGGAACTCCTGAGCTCAAGTGATGCCCCTACAATTAGACCCCCACCTCGGCCTCTCAAAGTGCTGGATTATAGGCATGAGCTACCTTGCCCAGCTGGTGGGGGAGGCAGTTTTGGAGGGGGTGGTTCGAAGAGGGGATATAGGGAAGCTCTCTGCAGGTTGACCGGGGTGGGGGTCAGTGTGTCTGGTCTCGAT